CCAAGAGATGTCAGATCTGTAACTTAGATAGTTGATTATATGTAATTATATATGCTTTGATCTAATAAAGATACCAGTAAGGCTGCTGATAAAGGAAAAAAAAAAAAAAATATTATGAAAAAATTAATAATCCCAATTTAAATTAATAATTACATGCCTGCTTACCTAACATTAACATTTAGCAGCAATTATTTTGAACTTTAATTATGAATTTGAATTAAATTTTGTTTCTTTTCATTATATAAAAATTTACAATTTTATTTGCTAATCGGCACGTGATATTTTCTCATGATAAAAATTTATAATTTTGATTGGCTGAACCAATAGGGATTATCATTTTCTTATTTGGAGACGTTCTTCCCTGTTTATTTATCTACCATGTATACCTCTCTGTGCAATATACTCTGTAGCAGTTCTATTTTTTGATTTATACCTGAATATATAAATATGGAAGTATAACAACTAAAAACATAGAAGTATTCATACAGTATACCCTCTGCACGCAGATTTTACTTATTTGTGCAGGTAACACAAACCAAAAAAGGAAATTGAATTTTGTAAATAAACTAAGTACGTAAAGATAGAAGTTTAGAGTATAACAATAGACTATTGCTTGTTATATATAAAATTTCATTTCCAAAATTTTTAATTAGTGAACCAAGGTCGATTTAAACACTAGTTTTTGAGTATTTTTGCTTTTTTCTTCTTTCGCACATGTTCGGAATTCATGTCGGACTGATTCAGAACAATCAAATTTTGTGCTCTCTAATTGGCTATTTCCTTTCTAGGGGTTTGTATTACTCATACAAATAAGTACGTGCCTACACGCGTACCCTGGATACTAAAATGGGCTAGGGAAATACCCAGATACACATGGCAGATAAATACAGTAAGTGTACACGCTTCATTCTAGACAACGATTTTTAAAATTTTTTATTCTGATTGGCTAATTATCACAGGAAATCACAAGTAGATCTACAAAATTAACCAATCATATGAATGTCTTCCTATGAGGTTCAATCACTACATCAGCAACATGTCTAACAAAAGAGTTTACAAGCGAACAGCTAAAAACTGGAGTATTGTTAATTTTTTAAACAAATCTATTAAAGAACCTTTCAAACATAAAATAGATAGTTATCTTAAATCTATTCAGATAATTATAGACAGCGAACAAGGCGAGAGGGCTGATAGAGCAAAGATTCTCCATGATAATTATAAGAGAGCAAGTAAAGCTTTTTTGTTTAAAATATTAGAATATGTGGCATGGCAAAGGATCTGTTCGATCGTTTGTCATTCAAAACTGTTTGTTGAGCCACAAACCAGTATTGAGATGCAGATGACCTGCTTGCTTGTTTGTTGCTAAAAAGACTGCTTGCTTGTCTGTTGCTAAAAAGACTACTTGCTTGTCTGTTGCTAAAAAGACTGTTCGTCTATTCAGCACTGGACCTACTGAAATACCTTATAGAACTGCTTGTCTACCTGATATTTCAGTGGAATAGAAAATATTGGTTGAAAATTAATACTAATTTCTATAATTTTCACGCTAAGGATCTAGACCTGATTGTATAAAAGCAAAAGAAAAGTATATGAAGAAGCAGGTTCATATCTACCAACCAAATCTAAACGCAGGGACTGTAATAAATGAAATAAATAGTGGAACACTTGGAAGTATAAACAGCGAAGCAAAAATTACATCAAAAAAAAGAGGTTATAAGGTATGTAATTTATATAATTTATGAGAATTGTGGCCTATTTAGTCTGATAATGATTTCATGCCCATCTGTGAACCAAGGCAGAAAAAGTAGTTATCTATTTCGAAAAAGTTAGGGTATAACAATAAAAGTCTTTTGATATAAAATGTTGTCTTGAAATCTATGCAACCTTGTTTTTAATAACTATTTTGATATCTATAGAATAAAGAATCTAAGGAACAAGCTAACTCCAAGAGGGTCAGTATGGAATGCGTCCTTGTGATTATAAAGATTTGTTCACAAAATTAATTTCTGTAGAACAAGGTTGATGTTTGTTTCCAAAGTTCCTCACAAACAGAATGCAATGACGATAGCAACTCTTGAAAGATGTTTATGTGTGATTACAAAAAATATAAAAAATCTTACACTAAATTGGATGACTCCAATAAGTGGAAACTCACAACCAGAACTGTTGTAGAAGATGCTCTTTATGCCTTTGGTCTACATTGTAAATATGAACAGTAAGTTTATATGTAAATAATTTGCTTACACTCTTCATGATGTATGAATTTCACTTACACTTTATCCCTATATAAAAAGTCTTGCTCATTTGTTTGTCTTGGACCCTGACAACGATACTTACCTGAAAGAAAATGTTTTCACCAAAATAGAATTATGTGAAATTCGCCAGTTTCAAGTCAAAGAGATGCTATTGATGTCTCTTGACTTGGTTAAATATATAAATAGCTTCAACCTTGTAAGTTTCATTTCTTTATTAAATATCATATAACTTGTTTTTTTTTTCTACTAACAACTGGCATGTTGTTTCAATAGAAAACCACTTCAGAAATTCGGAAACAAATCTTTAGTCCTGATCAAATAGATCAAGACTTCAATAGGTTAAGAGATTTTGATAGAGACTGGATTCGAAATACAATACATAATTTGTATGTAATAACTTCATTCATTTTAAGATTGGATACTAAGTTTGCACTTTCATTTTACAGATTGCAAGAATATGAATCGAATACTTTAACTAAGGATCATCTAGAACTTTGGATACTCGTTCATATTTGGAGCTTTACCGATAAAGTTTTTAATAATATTGAGAAAGTGAAAGTGGTCAGGTAAGAAACAAGAGACATCCGATTAGTTTTCAACTTTCCATGGTCTAAATAATTTTTGCAATAGAGGGGAGTCATGTAGCCTGTTGTCATCAGCACAAAAAAATCGTAAAAGAACCATGTCTAGAATAGCAAATATGAAACGAAAAGTGCTTGGAAAGAGAGGCAATATGATTATTCGTAAGATAATAGCAGAGTTTGGGTGTGCAGAAGCAGGTCGACAATTTGAGAGTGAGAATGGTACAAAGCTGTTGCATGAAAGAGGCTTTAAAATATCTAAGGTTATGAAAGACATGTTCAAATACCTATATGAAACTTTCAACCAAGATGATTATAAAACCTGCCAATTGGAAATGATTGGTTTCCTTCATACTGGTATGTTCTTTTTACTTAACATTTATTAATCCCCTTTTGTTGCTTACTTTGATCGTATTTTTCTAGAGCTCATGATGGTACTTTTGTGCCTAGACTCACCAGCCGGATATGTGTATCATGTGTTACGATCAAAATCTTTTTCTATCGCTACAAATATTAAAGAATTTGGAAAGACACTTCCTTTAATTTTTTTGACATGAAAGGCTAAAGCAAGTACTTGTTGTTATTTTCAGTTCTGTCTTTCGCATCTGATAAACTTATTCTTGTAGAAAATTGTTGAAAATATGATCAGTTTGATTGAACAAACTAATGAAACCGATGAAAGTAGCAAAGAAGAGCAATTATGATGTTTACAAGATGTCTACGATAATACACTATTGTCATTACAAAAATGAAAAAAGATAGATTTACCAACATGCTTGGATACTCCATCAAACCTGTCAAAAAGAGTCAAAGAAATCCTGCTTGGTTGGTCTATTATTTTAAACTACTTTGCATGAAAAAGTATATGTCTATATCTTTGTATTTTGCATTAGATCGGCTTGAACCACCACTACCATTCAATCTGTTATCAAGCATAGTACCTTGCCCAGATCCCCAGTGTGAGGGAGAAAATAAAGTTACTGCCAAATTTTGTTCAAATTGTGAAAAGCCAATCAATGGAATGAACACAATATCTCTGAATACACAAGAAACACTAGAGAAATTAATCTGATGTTCAAGACAATCGACCATTTTGTGAAGGTGGATTACAGATTAGTAGTAATAATAGAAAAATAAAAATATTATATCAAGATTAGAGTGTCATATTGCACCTATGAGGCTCTTATGTTAGTTTTTCTTTATATATTGTGATGCATCAGAATAATATATCAGCGTAAACATGAAATTGGACATTTTTTTTTGATCCTAAAAATAGAAATTACCTATTCATGTGAATAAAAACAGGAGGAACCGTTAAATATTACACAAATGTTCATGTATTGTCACGTTATAACTGGCCAATCAAATCACAAAATTCAAAATTATAAAAAAATAATGAAAACGATAACAAAAGCAAAACAAAATAAAATATATTAATTTAATTTAAAGTTTATATTTTAAAGCTTAAAATAAGTGCTTTAGACTTGTCTCAAGTAGACAAGCACATATTTATTAATTCATTTACTCATTAATCCAATTAACCAACTTCTATACA